CCATTTTTTGATTGGATTGTTTATCTTCTTTTTGTTAAGATGTATGAGTTCCCTATAAATTTTGGAGATTAGGCCCTTGTTCTCCCATGTAGTGGACTTTCTTGTTGTTTTGTTGATGGTTTCTTTTGCTGTGCAGAAGCTTTTTATTTTGATGTAGTCCCATTTGTTTATTTTCTTCTTAGTTTCTATTGCCCTAGGAGCTGTATTGATAAAGATGTTGCTATGACATATGTCTGATATTTTGCTGCCTATGGATTCTCCTAAGATTTTTATGGTTTCTCATCTTACATTTAAGTTCTTTATCCATTTTGAGTTTATTTTTGTGTATGGTGTAAGTTGGTGGTCTAGTTTCATTTTTTTTCATATATCTGTCCCATTTTCCCAACACCGTTTATTGAAGAGACTGTCTTGATTCTCTTGTATGCTCTTGCTTCCTTTGTCAAGTATTAATTGAGCATGATGGCTTGGGTCAATTTCTGGGTTCTCTGTCCTGTTCCATTGGTCTATATGTCTGTTCTTGTGCCAGTACAAGGCAGTTTTGAGAACAGTGGCTTTGTAATAAAGCTTAATGGGGATTGCATTGAATCTATAGATTACTTTGAGTAGTATGGACATTTTAATGATATTAATTCTACCAATCCATGAACAAGGTATATTCTTCCATTTGTTTATGTCTTTCCCTCTCTCTCTCTCTCTCTCTCTCTCTCTCTCTCTCTCTCTCTCTCTCTCTCTCTCTCTCTCTCTTTAATGCCCTGTAATTTTCTGAGTACAAGTCTTTTACCTCCTTAGTTTATTCCTAGGTAAGAGCTAAAATATCCACAAATATGATGACTGTATAAAGTCAGCTTAATTTTCCCTCCAATTTGGATAGTCAATTGACCCACATCATTTGTTAAAAGACCATCATTCTCCTCTACCTTGCAGTGCCACCTTTGCAATAAAGCAAATGTTTGTGCCTAAGTTCAACTCTCGCCTGTGTTCTGTTCTAATGAAATGTCTGTCAATCCTTGCATCAAACTTATACTCTAACTATTTTGTTCTTATAAGTATTGAGTACTTTGACCATCTTCTTCAATTATTCTTGGCCCACTGCATTTCTGTATGAACATAAGAATCAACTTTTCAATACCCCCAAGATATCTTGCTGGAATTGAACAAGCAGTATCAACCTATAGAGCAACTTGGAGAAATTGGTATCTGTACATTAGTGAGTCTCCCCATCCATAAGCATTGTATACCCCTTTATTGGTTTAATCTCTTATAATATCTGTCAACATGTCTTATAGTTTTCTGGTCTAGGTCTTGGACATTTTTTCTTAAGACATAATCCTAGGTATTTGCTGCTTTTTATTCTATTGTAAGTGGCACTAACTTTTTATTTGTTTGTTGTTAGAATACAGAAATTCAATTGATTTTTGTATAGTGACATGATATAAAAATTACTTAATTTTAATAATTTATTTGTATATTCTTTTGGATTTTCTATTCACACAAGTCTATCATTTTCAAATGAGAGTCTGTGATTTTTTTTTCTTTCTGACTGATATTTTTATTTTTTCATTGTCTTATTTCACTGCCTTGGACCTCCACTTTAAAAAAAAATATATTTTATTGATTTTTTACAGAGAGGAAGGGAGAGGAATAGAGCTAGAAACATCGATGAGAGAGAAACATCGACCAGCTGCCTCCTGCACATCCCCTACCGGGGATGTGCCCGCAACCAATGTATATGCCCTTGACCAGAATCGAACCTGGGACCCTTCAGTCTGCAGATCGACGCTCTACCACTGAGCCAAACCGGCTTCGGCTGGACCTCCACTATTGATAGATCATCCCTTTCTCCAACTGACGTAAACTCCACCTGCAGCTGGACATTCCTGTACATTGAACCACCAATCAGCACCTGCCAAATACCCTGTGCCCCTGATTCCTAAGTCCCTAGGTCCCTGATCATACGTTTTACATGAAACCACCAATCAGCATGTGCTGAGTGCCCTAAGCCCGGTCCCCTCTCTTCCCTCTCCTTAAAAGGTGCCTGCACCCCGGCCCTCTCTCTCTTCCTTTGGGAAGGCAGCCAGCAGAGGTACTCTCCTTCAATAAAGCCTGTCTTTCCCCTGTCTTTCCCCGCCGCCCCCTTCTGTTTCATCTTTCAACTACAACACTGAAGAAAAGTGGTGATAGGAGGCATTCTTGACCTTTCTCAATCTAGGAGAAATGCTTTCAACATGTCACCATTGTATATGACACTTATTATAGTGTTGTTGTTTTTTTTTTTGGGGGGGGAGGGAGGATATCCATTACCACATTAAGAAAGTTCTTCTAGTCCTAATTCAATGGGATATTTGATCATAAGTGGATCTTTATTTTTGTCAAATACTTTTTTCTGGATCAATTGAATGATGATATAAGTTTTTTTCCTTTATTCTGTTAATGTGATAAATTACAATGATTGATTTTCAAATGTTAAACCAACATTACATTTCTAGCATACACTGAAATTTATTGTGACATAAAATCTTTTTAAAAATATAGCACCAAATTAGATTTGCTAATATTTTGTTTGAGATTTTGTATCTAGATTCATGAGAGAGACTGGCCTATACTTTTGTTCTTATAATGTCCTTAGATTTTGGTTTCAATGTTTAGCAGGCCTCCTAGAAATTGGAAAAATGTACCTTATTTTTTCATTGTGGGGGAGTTTGTATATGATTGGTATGATTCTTTGTTAGAACTTACAAAGAATTCTTGGGTCAAGCTATCAAATTCAGGAGTTAACATCCTTAATTGACATGAGTATTCATATTTTCTATTTTTTTATATTTTGTTTTGTCAAGTAATTTGTACATTTTATCTAAATTGATAAATTTATTGATACAAAGTTGTTCAAAATACCTTCTCATTATCTCATTACCTTTTTAAAGTAAAATTTATAATGATGTCCTTTTAGTAAATTTGAATTTTTTTCTTTTTAAAAAATTAGTATTGATAAGGGTTCTTATATTTTAATTCATGTTTTTCAAAGAAGCAAATTTTGGTTTTATTTATTTTCTCTATTGCACTATTGTTTTTTATTTTTATTTTTATTTTATTTTATTTTTACATATTTTAATGATTTTTTTTTGCCCCCCTCCCTCCCTCCCCATAGTTTTATGTCCATTGGTTGTACTTATATGCATGTATACAAGTCCTTCGGTTGATCTATTATCTCCCCCAGATCCTCCTCCCCTCCCCGCTGTAATTTGACAATCTGCTTGTTGCTTTACTGTCTCTATATCTATCTTTTGGTTCATCAGTTTATAATGCTCTTTATTATCCACAAATGAGTGAGGTCATGTGGTGTTTCTCTTTCATTGATTGGCTTATTTCACTCAGCATGATGTTCTCCAATTCCATCCAGGTTGCTGCAAATGATGAGAATTCCTTCTTCTTTATGGCAGCATAGTATTCCATTGTGTAGATGTACCATAGTTTTTGGATCCAATCATCTGCTGACGGGCACCTAGGCTGTTTCCAAATTCTGGCTATTGTAGATTGTGCTGCTATGAACATAGGGGTGCATATATCCTTTCTGATTGGTGTTTCTAGTTTCTTGGGATATATTCCTATGAGTGGGATTACTGGGTCAAATGGGAGTTCCATTTTCAGTTTTTTGAGGAAACTCCACACTGTTCTCCACAGTGGTTGCACCAGTCTGCATTCCCACCAGCATGCACTATTGTTTTTTAATTTTAACTCTTATCTTTATAATTTCCTTCCTTCTGTATTTATAGAGTTATCTTGATTCTTTTTTATTTCTTGATATAGCTATTTCTATGATTAATTTCTTCAGCCTTTTTCTTCTAATAAATTCCTTAAGGCTACAAATATAAATCTAATAATTGAGTTAGTTACATCCACAAGTTTTCATGTCAGATTGTCATTACCATTCAGTTAAAAATATATTCTAATTTCTACTATTACTTTTTCTTTGAACCATGAATTATTTATGAGTATATTATTTAATTTCCAGACATACATACATTTTCTTTCTTTTTTAAAAAAAGTATATTTTATTGATTTTTTACAGAGAGGAAGAGAGAGGGATAGAGAGACAGAAACATAGATGAGAGAGAACCATCGATCAGCTGCCTCCTGCACACCCCCTACTGGGGATGTGCCTGCAACCAAGGTACATGCCCTTGACCGGAATTGAACCTGGGACCCTTGAGTCTGCAGGCCGATGCTCTATCCACTGAGCCAAACCGGTTTCGGCCATACATACATTTTCAAGTTATCTTTCTTTTCCAGTCTTGTCAAGGAATATATTCTGTGTGATTTTGATCTTTTGCATTTTGTTGAGACTGCCCTATGACCCAGCCTAGCCTGTTTGGGTCTGTTTTCATGTGTGCTCATAAAGATTGGGTATTCTCAAGTAATTTGGTGCAGTATTCTATATATATCAACTAGGTCCACTTTTTAAATTCAAATCTTCTCTATCCTTAGTAATTTTCCTATCTGTTGTCTTTTCTATTTCTAAGTAAAATACAGTAAAATCTTTGACTATGATGGTAGACTTGTCAATTTCTTCTTTTAGATGTCAGTTCTACATAGTTTGAATTTTAAAGTAAAATCTGTAAAATTTTAATGGTTGAAATCTTATTCAAATTTGTTTTTATTTTATTTTTTTTCAATGGGGGCAACCAACAACTCTGAAACTCAGCCTGAGATCCTATCTGATACATGTCTCAGATGCCAGCCCTAGACTGCCCACTTCACCACCTCTGATCTTCACTGTTTGCCCTGGGCACAAGGTTTCCTGGGGGAAATAGCAGAGGCCCTGATGGCTTTTGAGAGCCGGGACTCATCAGCCCTGACCCACGCTCTTCCAGGGCTGAAGTGGTCACAGCACGCCTGCCCTGACCCCCTTCCCTGGCCTGGGCCAAGGCTTCCAGGACCCCTGTAGGGCCAGTGGCTCATACTCAGCCCCCTTCCTTTCTGAACTCTTGTAGGAGCAAGCTCACCTTGCATGCCTGAAGGCCCAAAGTCTTGCCGTGTGAGGAAGATAGCGTGATCATGGTATTCATCGTGGTCTGTGTCCGGCTTCTGCTGGAGGTAAGCCCACCGGCAGACATTCTCCAGGCTTTGAGAAGGGTTCCCGATCTCAATAAGGCTCATGGACTGCAGGGAAGGAGAGACAGAAGAGGGGTTAGTGTCTTGTGGACTAGCTGGGGGTCTGAGCAATGTTGAAATTGATGTTGACAGACCCCATCCATTGGGGGCCTGGTCCAGGTGGCAGAGCGGCCCCTGCCCAGTCTTCTCAGGACTTGGTTCCATCTTGGCTCCCCAGCAAGTTTCCACACAAAGTTACTGTGCAGTTTGCAGGTGAGATGTGTTTTCAGGGCCTCAAATAGGTCCATTCAGCCCACCCCATTTACAGAGCTCCCTGCATTCGACCAGGCCTTGGACAGGAGGCAAATGCCATTTGGACTGCACCCTGAAGAACTCACAAGTTGGGAAGCGTTCAGGGTTGGAAGGGGGAGGGGAATGGAGCAGGAAAAGGAATTCCAACGTGGTGTGCCAGTCCAGAGAAGGGGAGAGACCCTGTGTTTGCAGACATTTACAGAAAATGACACATTAGAGGGGAAATCTACAGCAGATTACAGCAAAGGGGCCCCATAAAGAACAGGGGCACAGAGCCTATTCCCTTAGGAGCCACGGAGAAGAGCATCACATGCCCTTTATGTGGTGCCCACGGCTAGCCACACTCTGCACAGTGGCATTGCCATTCAGGCTTCACAGTCAGCCTGAGAAGAGGAAGCTGAGGCTGGGAGAGGTCAAGTAACTTCCCTCAGGTCACACAGCTAGAAAGCAGAGTGGAGATCCCAACCCATGAAGCCTAGACTGCTTCCCTGGGAAACAGGCAGCACGGCCACTCAGAAGGGAGGCTGCTGCAGGCAGCATGCTGCCCGTTCTGTCTCCGGCATTTCCGCTTCTGCTTTCACCACACACTCGTGTCACCACAGTGCTTCCCGCCAAGATAAGAGTCCTGGGCATGACTTTTCCTCTTCTTTTTAAAAAAGAATTTGTTTATTGATTTGAGAGAGAGAGAGAGAGAGAGAGAGAGAGAGAGAGAGAGAGAGAGAGAGAGAGAGAGAGACATTGGCTTGTTGTTTCACTTATTTATGCATTCATTGGTTGCTTCTTATATATGTGCTGGCCATATAGCAAACCCTTGGCGTCCTGGGACAAAGCTCTAACCAACTGAACCATTTGACCAGGGCTGCTTCATCCCTCTTTATTTTATTTTATTTTATTTTATTTTATTTTATTTTATTTAAAAAATACATTTTTTTTTTTTTTTTTTTACAGAGAGGAAAGGAGAGGGATAGAGAGCTAGAAACATCGATGAGAGAGAAACATCGATCAGCTGCCTCCTGCACACTCCCCACTGGGGATGTGCCCGCAACCAAGGTACATGCCCTTGACCAGAATTGGACTTGGGACCCTTGAGTCCACAGGCTGACACTCTATCCACTGAGCCAAACTGGTTAGGGCTCATCCCTCTTTAAATACATCTGTCTGTAAAGTTTCTTTTCCCTCATGAATATATCCATCAAGCATAGCCACACATCTCTCCTTGTGTGGGTGAGGTATAGGTTGTTGCGGGTAAGCCAGGATGTTTCACAGAAGAAAGAATAATCCCAGGCCAGAGAAGGGCTGGTCATTGCCAGGAGTCTCATGTGTTATCTAAGACAGTGACTTACAAGATGGCAGAACAGCTCCCAGGCCCCATGCACAGAGCCAAATGCGCTGGGAGATGAGACTGTTATAAAAAGCTATACTGGGTCCTAGTAAAGTAAGTCACAGACCGGAATGGGGTCTATGCAGGAGGCATGGGGGGAGAACCGAAAACTCGCAGGGTAGGTGTGGGCTCTGCAGTGCCAAGGGGCACAGTCATGGGGTGGTCTTTTTGGGCCCAGCTTGCTCGCTCAGGAGGAGCTTGGAAGTATTTTGTGGAGTCCTCCCACTTCTCAGGAAGCAGCTCAGGAGTGATCAGTCCAGGGGCTCTGCCCACCCCTCCTCAGAGCCTCCTGAGACTCAAGCTAGGTCAGTGGAGCAGAGGTTCCAAAGGCTCCAGCCACTTTGCCTCGTTGGTGGCAGCCCCAAAACAAAACCCAGGAGCTCCTGCCTCCTGCAGCCCAGGCCCTCCCTTTCTTTGAACTACTTGTCCCACCTCCTGATCTCACACGCCTCAAAGGCTCCCCATAGAGGTATCGAGAGTCAGGGGGCAGCGGGCAGGCCTGGGGCCTAGGAGGGAGGTCTAAACTACTTGGGTCACTTGGGCTGTGGTGCCCCCACCTGACCTTCTATTCTTCCGTGACCTGCTGGCACCCATGCAGCCCTCAGATGGGCACCCTCTCTGGGCTACCTCAGGTCATGCCATTCGATGCCCTTGCCAGGTATCACAGCATCTGAGCAGTGGCTCTTCTCTGAGCCAGGATAGGAGACTCATCTATTTCTCCTTCAGAAATGACAGGGAGAGGCCGAGGGGTCTGCTTGTGGCGGCTGCACTTCTTGCTGCCCAAAGGCCTGTCTTCTGGCCGCCTGCTCCTCTCTATCCTACATGGGCTCTAGGAAAGCTTCTCTGTGAGACTGAGCCCATTCCCATTTGTGTTGGGCTGGGGACCAGGTGTGAGCTCAGCAAGGGGGTGGCCTAGGGATCATTATGGAACTCACAGACCACCAGCCCTCCCCCAGAGGGAGCCAAGGCACAGCTGTCCAGTGGATGGGATGTCTGCATCCTGGGCTGGGTGGTGGCTGCGAGGTCCTGTACAAGGCCCCTGTGAGCTGATTCCCGGGCTCCAAGTTTCCATGCACCATCTATTTAAACCACATGTGTCAAACACAAGGCCCGCGGGCCAAATCCATCCCGCCAGGCCTTGCAATGTGGCCCGCACCGCGCTGTCATCACTGCACTCCGCTGCGTTTCCATCACAGTGACAGTTTATGACTGTTCAGTAAACCATTCGGCCCGCGATTTAGGCTGGATTTTAGATTTTGGCCCCTTCTCTGATTGAGTTCGACATCCCTAATAAACCATACAACTGCCCTGATATATAGGTGCTGCCGTTTTCCTGTCTTCAGGATGAGGAACCACGTCTCAGACAATTGAAGTAACTAGCCCCAGTCCAACCACTAGAAAGGGGTAGAGGTGGGCACGGGAGAGGCAGGGCAGCCCTGAGGCGGTCACAAGGTGGCGCTGCTGCCTAAGATTGCAGGGCCAGCTGGGCTGGCAGCGGAGGCCCTGGCTTGGGCTGCAGCTCTGAGCCTGGTTAGCACCCAGCAGCGGGGACTTCAGAAGCTGGAGACAGTCTCTGGGGTCCCGCACTGGAAAAGTCAACGAAGACCCGCCCTAAATGCTCTCCGACATTTCCATTGTTTGCTCCAGACTGAGCTGAGTTATTTCAGCTCTTCCCTCCTTCAGTCCAGGAGATGGAGACAAACCTGCAGTCTCCGCCCCCACCTGCTCCAGGCCAGGGACAGCTCTGCCTAAGGGTCCCTAAGCCCGTTCAGCATTCACCAGGGCACCCGCAGGTGACAAGTGGGGCTCATCTGGGTAGCATGAGAGCCCTGGGATGTGACTTGCTCATCTCTTATCTGCTTCATGTTCTTAGACAAGTTACCTCACTGTCCTGAGCTTCCCGTCTGAAAAATGGGTACAACCCGTGCAGAGGCAGGAGTATAGTGGCTTCTGACCATAACCGTCAATGCCTACAAATGTTCCTTGTCCTGTCACTGTCATGACAATGATGATAAAGATGGAGGTGTGACTATAGTCCCTGGGGGACCCAGTGTACCCAAAGGGGTTGCCTGAAGCTTTGGGGGCTCATGCCCTAGATGGTTGGCTTCAGTCTGCCAAAGCCTTTTAACTGCCCTGGCCCTACTCTCCAAAATACACAGGAAATGAGACAGCTTGCCCAGAGCCCAGGCCTGCTAAGGGGCACGGCTCACCGAGTTCAGGAAAGCAGAGCACACTACCCCACCTCTGCATTGCTGGCAGCTGGGCCAGGACCTCTCTGCTGGGGGGACTATCCTTTGCACTCTAGGGTGTGAAATAGCATTCCAGCCTCTACCTATCTGATGCCATTAGCATTCCCCTTGGGGGGTAGCAAAGCTGCCCTCTGTGGAGAGCACTAGCATGCAGGAACTGTTTTTTTTTTTTTTTTTTTTAAATATATATATTTTATTGATTTTTTTACAGACAGGAAGGGAAAGGGATAGAGGGCTAGAAACATCAATGAGAAAGAAACATCCACCAGCTGCCTCCTGCACACCCCCTACCGGGGATGTGCTCGCAACCAAGGTACATGCCCTTGACTGGAATCGAACCTGGGACCCTTCAGTACGCAGACTGATGCTCTACCCATTGAGCCAAACCGGTTTCGGCTTCATGCAGGAACTCTTGAGGGGAACAAGGCACAAGCAGCCTGGAGCTCACTCTCCCCAGCCTTTGGAGTAACCATGTCTGACCCCTCCTTCCCAGAGCCAAGTGGCTTGCTAGTGGGTGACTCTGGCAGGTCCTTGTGCCTCTTGGTGCCAGAGTCTCACTGTCAGGTGGGCCGGATGATGTCCCATAGAGCTGCTGTGTTGGGAAATGAAGTCACCTAAGGGGTGACAGACAGGGCCTTCCCCCAAGGGGGCACTGCAGACAGCAACTCACATGAGCCTCCTCCTCGTTGCTGTAGTTGCTAGTATGTGCTTGTCTTCCTGGGGACACTAAGGCTCAGTGGTGGTAGATAACCTGCTGAAGGATCAACATGGGCAGAATTCACATTGCATCCCTGACGAGGCAGCATGGGCTCCCCTAAGGCTGGGGGTCTTCTCCCTGCAGCTCCAGCCTCGGGGAGCTCAGATATCAAGTGACACCAGAAGGTGAGCTCTTCATTTCTCGGCCGGGACTCCATGTCACTAGGGCATGTTCTAGAAACCCTCCTTCCCCAGGGCTGGGAGCCTATTGCCAGAGACAGCCAAGCACAGGGGTCTCAGCAAGAGCCTTCCCAGTCTTAGCCACAGCTGGCCTCCCAGAGTAGGGTACAGGGCAACATGCCCTCATCCTTCTCTGCACGCTGACAGGTCCAGCTCACCATGGACTGGCACGACCAGGGGCTGGCCACCAG